CTGAGCATGCCTGGCTGTGGAATTCTGGGAGTTGAAGTCCACAAGTCTAAAAAAATTGCTGCCTCACCAGCCATAAAGCTCACTGCACGTCACTGGAGGAACCATAATAATATTAGAATATCTACCTATCCCATGTCTTTGGAAAGGACTTAATGGATGGATAAAAATGCCAAATCAAATATAAACATTTGGCTGATGTGCAATCAACCAGTATAATTTAAAGGACATACTCTACTGCAGCCTTGATAATATTTTTATTTATTAACTACATATGTAATAAAAATCTTTTTTTAATGGGCACCAGCATGATTCTACACAAAGTGAAAGCTTGAAAACATTACTGATATTCAAAACTAAAATTGCCACGCTATAAATTGATGCTTATTTTTATTGACCAACTGTTTTTAACATTGGACCAGCATCACTGGATAGCTGGTAATGATTTTGAATCAGCCACATCTTCCTTTTAAATAATTTTCTTAGAATTTAATGTGCCTTATACAATCTACAATGTAAATGACATATGTTATATACACCTGATTATTATCCTAATTTATTTCTACACATTTCCATGCTACCTTTATGACGGAGGGTTTTGTCTGTCCATTTATTTATTTAGATTTTCTGAAATGTACTCTTTTTTTGTGAGGGACAAATGGACCTGGTTGCTTAGAAATAGAACTAGGAATAGTTATTAATACAGGACTGGATCGACTGGGTTTGTCAAAGGAACACGTACAGCTAAAATCTGTTGATCTACTGAGTTGGGGGGAAAAGACTCTAACAGCTATAAACCCTGATGGTTGATTCTACTTTTCCCTAGAACTGCAATGCCGTATGGGGGATATGAGAAGGCAATCAAATTGATGACCTTCCAAATGCCTGAATTTGAAGTTGGCCCTTTGCTACCTGAGCCTCTAATTGTGTATAATCAAGAAGTCTCCAATCGACCCTCCTTTAACAGGACCCCAGTACCCTGGCTGGGGTCGGGAGAACCAACTGAATACAACATCGAGGTGAATGTACCACCAGCAGGTGAAACTGAAGAATTATAGAAATCCCCCTTTCCTGTCATTAATCTGTTCATTTGCATGTCTATATTAAGGAGCTGAACATGCAGAAATTTCTCAACTTTGCCGTAAGGACAACCACAATCTAATGCATCTTTGCTGTGGTATTGATCCATATTGGAGTTTGAAGAAAACAAAGCACTAAAATAGTGAGGGAGAGAGAGAAAGAAAGAGTCAGTCTTTTTATTTGCACTCCAAAGCATAAATACAAACCCTGTGATACTTAATTCTTCCGGTCTGCTCTGTCCCAACTTTGTTCCATTGTTTTGTCATTTGGCAAAATGAATAAAGCATCTACAAAGATAGAAAACAATGTGATATTTCTTCCTTGGTTCTGTGGGTTCTGTCTATGAGATGATCTTCCCTTGACTGATTTTCATTCAGGAAACAGCAGGAATCAGAAACCTGATTAAGAAACCGAGAGCCAGATTGGTGCTGTGATTAAGGTGCTGCCCTAGGAGGCAGTGAGTTCTAGTCCCGCCTTAGGCATGAAAACTGCCTGGGTGACTTTGGCTCAGACTTTGCCCCTCTCTCTTACCCACCTCATCTGTGGGGAAAGTAGGGAAGAGGAAGGAATAGTGTATTATGTTTGCTGCCTTAAGTTACTTACAGAATAACAAAGGTGGGATAAAAAAATCTCACAAAGACGGAAAATAAACTTGTTAAAATGAATGATAATCACATGTTAACAATCCAATGTGGCAAGTTAGGCTTGCTGCAAATTAAAGAGTTCATAACTGACTCCACTATAATATGCTGGATGAATCTTGTCCTGTGTTTAATTTTGTAATGTATTTCTTAGCATTGGATATGAAATGTGTATTGATTAGTTCAGGAACAGTGTCTGGGATTGACCCCGTAAACCCCTTCTCTGAAGATTTCCTATATAGTACCTATACTGGATGTATTGATTTATGATACTAATCAGCAGCTGCAGTTCAGTGCACAAATCTGGATGATATTACATGGCAGCCTAAACATTCCAAAATATCTCATTTTTTGCTCTTAGATGATGGCTAGCCTGTAAAATTGTAGTTAAGTGACATTTTAAAAAATACAATTATTTGGGAAAGAATGGGCAAGAAAAACAATCAAAAAGTCCTGAATGCATGGAATAACCAGACAATTGTCCATACCAATTGGAGAGGCCTTCGCTGTGGTAGATGACACTGGGCAGGGCTGGAATTTCTAGTGACAAATCTATCAATCACAGTCCTTGAAATGTTGTTCATTGTGGATATCAATGCAGCACAAACCTATTAAGGACACAGAAAGATTTAGATTGGTATGATTTCTTCCCAACTTTGTGTCAAAATATAATAAAGCAACTATCTAATTATGGCTAAAGTTGGTGTCCTGTGCACCTTTCTTCCAATAATGATTAGTGTGATATCTTGGTTCCAGGCGAGTAGCTTCTTCTTGGCTCCTATATGCAAAAAACAAACACATATGTCCAAACGTATGATCCTTTTGTAGGAGTAAATCTTTCCCACTTCATCTTGGGAGCAAAACCCCTGAATTTAGAAGGAAAATACGTGAATGGTAGCTTCTAGTTTAACTGTTTCTTGGGTCTGTGCCTTTGGAAAATCAACTAGCTGGTAAAGTTCTGTGGCATTCCAAGGATTGGTTTGGGGAAATAATTTCACTCCATCTGAAGATGACAAAATCCAAGAAGAATAGCTTTTTTAAATGTTCCTTTTTAAAAAGCCCAGTAGGTGCTTTCACTGTGCCTGCTTCTTGGCTCTTTGTTTAGAACCCATTGCTCATTTGCTTCCAGCTGCAATTCAAAGTGTTGTTTCTTACCTATAAAGACCTCATGGCATGGTCCAGGTTACACGAGGAATCATCTCACTCCAATGGGATAGGCTCATACCACCTGTGCCTGCAAAGGAGGCAAATGTTGCAGATCCCATCAGTCAAGAAATTCTAGCTGGTGGGGGTCCAGGGGAAGAGCCTTCTCTGTTGTGGCCCCCGCTCTTTGGAACATTTTACCCCACTGAGATGAGATTGGCTCCCACCCTCTGGACTATCAACAAGGGTGTGAAGACCTGGGTCTGCTAGATGGCTTGGGGTTCCAAGGGGGAGTATCATGCTGGAGGTAGTTGAAGAACTAATAATAGATCCCACCTCCCTCCCATGCATATTGCCTCCTCCCAGTGGTGAAATCTATTTTTTTCCCTACCAGTTCTGTGGGCCTGGCTTGGTGGTGGTGGTAGGTCATTTGACTGGGTGGGCATGGCCATGTAGTCATGTGATGGGGTCAAAAGATAGAAACTCACTTTAACAATGTCCTGCTAGAGCAGGGGTTTGGATTAGATGGTTCCACCACAAAACCGCGTTCGACTAAAGCGCGCTCGACGAAACCGCGTACCTGACGTCATCA